AAGCCCAATTAAAGCATACTGGTTTATTGGTTGGGATAAATTCACAACTCAGGCTTTATCTATCCCAAAATAAAAAATCAGGCCACAAAGTTTGGAATTACAAAATTCAGGTTTTTCATGAATTAATTAATTATATTTCACAATTATTATATTAAATTAAATATTTAACTGTAATATAACATAATTAACCCACCTCCACCCCACCCCACCCCACCCCACCCCACCCCACCATCTGCTCCGGCGACCACTCCGGCGACTATTCTCCGATCACAGATCTAAAATTTTATAGGTCACAGTTTTTTCATCGGTCACAGATCAAAAATTTTGTAGATCAATGATTATTTTGAGGTCACACATCTAAAATTTTATAGGTCACATAATATTTTATTGGTCACAGATCAAAAAAATTATATGTCACATGTCATGTATTTTCAGATTTGTTGATCACGGATTCATTTTTTAGTTGAGTAACTGGTCACATATTACCAAATATTTAGTCACAGACCATCAAATAGTACGTCACATAACTAAGTAATTGGCCACATACAAACAGTGGTCACACCTCGACACAACACCACCACTACACCTCTACTCCTCAACTGCTGAAAACCACTCATCGCTCTAAACATCTTCGAACAACACCACAGCATCAACATCTTCAACCAAAATATATATTAGCAAACAATAAAAAGTAAAACCTAATTAATGAAGGCGGTCAAAACCGAGGGCAGCAACTGAAATGTTGCTGGTGGTGGATTCAGTTGGACTTGGCGACGGAACAACTGTGGTGACTGGTTCTGTCCTGTGGCTACCATCATAATTGCAACAAACCCACCGGCATAAAAAAAGCAGTTATGGATAAATAACACATAAATCAAGGGCTATGCGAATCCTCATATAGAGGGGGTGATCGGAGCTACGCAAAATGAGAATTATTCCCTGTTTATTCAGTTTTTATTTAGAACCTAGTTTCACCACTTTATTTCACTGTGGCCGCCCTAATCGCACAGCAACGTCGACGTTGCTGTGAATCAGCAGCAGCGTCGACGCTCCGACAGGGAGGGAGGAGGAGAAGGTAGAGAGGGAGAAACGATGCGAAGGGGGTGGTGTGTGGGATGAATTGATAAATTAGGGTTTTAAAGGAATAATTATTTAATTAAAATGATAAAAAACTCTTTTTTTTGAAAAAAAAAAGCCTAATAAATGAAATAAAAACGTGAAAACCTGATTTTTTTAAAATGCAAAAGAAAATGCTTTGACTTAATTACCACTTTTCAAAGAGTACCCCAAACCAGACTGCACATTTGAATTTGAAAGCCGTAACTCGCTGTTCAGTCCATTTGAATTTGAAAAACGTAGGACAGCCTGCCCCAAATCAATTACTTACTGCTATATATAAAAAAGAACGCTTCTCGGCGGGCGCGTATCTTTGTACGTTTTCAAATTTGACTAGCCGCGCCATTAAGAATCTTGGATCTAATTTTCTTGACCATCATGTTGTATTTCTATTAATCTTTTCTTTAGTCAAGGAATAAAGTTATCATTTTGGATTTGAATTTTGCATATAAGGTCAGCGCTTAGAATCCTGGCAATTGAATTTGCCATTTCTTCACTCTTTGAGCGTAGATGGATAGTGTGTCCAGATTTGATTCAGAGGTGGGTTTTTTGAAATATTACTAAAGATTTATTATTTTCTGGTTTTGAAACTTCTTCTATGTTTGTCAGTTAAATTGAATGGATTATTGGATTTGTTTTGTTAGGTTGCATTAGCACAGAAAAGATGTCTAGTAGAAGATGAAGAACGATCGGAACGTCCTTCCAAAAGAATGAAAATGCCGGATCTTGAATCCATTTCTCGGATGGAAGGTATATCTTTTTTCTTTTTATATCCATTTTGCGATAATTCTATCTCATTTGGGTGCATAGGTTATAGTTGTTGATTGATATAATTGCATTAGAGGCAAAAGTTTACCATTTTTGTCCTAGTTTATATTCCTAATTGGATATTGTTAAAGTGCCTTGGTTTTGAGTAGTAATGATTTCTATACACCGGCTCGCTTCTTCATATAATTAAATTGCTAGACAGTGAACACTAGAAGCCAATGCTTGATATTATATTTGCCTTTGTATTAAATTAATTTGTAGAATCATGCATTATTTTTCTTTGCAAGTTGATGCTGGAGTGTGTGGGTTTGATGTTTAAAAGAATTTTATCTCCTTTATTTATGTCGACTTAAAGTATTATTGAAAGGAATTAAAGTGCTAATCTCGTTAAATTAAAGTTAGATATCCCTTAAGCAAAACTGAGAAAATGAGTTATGATGTAAGCTCAATCAGGAGGAGGAAGCAGCACGGCGTATAACTCTGCCCCAAGAGCACTTGATCTCAATGCCAATTTAGATACTGCTAGCAATGTGGTTGGGGACAGTACTCCAGTGTATATCAAGGAACCCAACAAATTGCCCAAATCTGGGAATGAACAAAAGTCGAGAGGGTTTGGTGTAGATCTAAATACTGAAGATATTTCTAGTTCAATCAACCAAGACCCGTTCTATCCTTATAAAAACTACGAAAATTTGAAAAAAAGGGATGATTCTGATTGTGCAAGTTCCGTTGGTCCAGTGGAGGAAAAAGATCCAATGAGAGTTTGGAACAAGATGAAACAAAACAATTATCTTTCCACTTCTTATGCAGCAGTGACGATGCCAAAGCCACGGGGGAGGAAGAGTAAAAATGAAGTGATTAAGAAAAATATAGAGCTTGCAAAGAAAGAACAGGTAGATAGGTTTGCAAGAATTGCTGCTCCAAGTGGGTTGCTTAATGGGCTAAACCCTGGAATCATAAACCATGTGAGAAACAGTAAACAGGTTCACTCTATTATAGAAGCAGTGGTAAAATCTGCAAAAACTGAAAATCAACAAGCTGGAAGCAACCAGGCTAACCAAAGAAAAAGTGGCACAAAAGAATTTAGTGAAAGGGAGAACCTGGAACACATGAATTGTGCAGGAGTGAATGAATGTGGTGTTAATCATGAAGATAATTTGTCGGGAAGATGGCAGATGAGCAGCTATCCATCATTGAGCAAATCAATTTCTTTGAACTCCCATCTTACCAGGGGAGATGGCGAGCCATATAAGGCAGAAACAAGGATCTCTGGTAGGGTGCCTTCACAGTACACCCCAGAAACTGAGGATGGACTTGCACTAAAGCTTTCATCATCACTAACTGCTGCATCAGAGAATACTTGCTCTTTGTTAAATGAGGAGTCAGCAAACCTTTCTGGTGTTACTTCACTTTCTGTTAAAGGTTTGTTGTTTTCTCTCACATGTACATCTTTGCTTGTTTCGCTAGTTATGTACAAATTGAAGGAGAAGCTTTTCATTTTTGTTTCCTTTTTTTGTACTTTCATGATTAATATGTTCTATCAGGAGGATTTGACAACATGTGATTTATAGAAAATGGCATATCATTGAAGTTCATTCAATACTAACTTGCTTCTGAAATAATAAATAATGGTTTTTTCATTGACATCTTGGTGATAAATACTTTACATATATAGAAGAAAACAGTGAGCTGATTTGGACTTCTGTTTGATTACAGCTGCTAATGCAGCTTCCCAATGGTTGGAACTTCTTAATCAGGATATCAAAGGACGTCTTTCAGGTAGGTTGATACCTCAAATAAGAGAAAATATTTACGTGCTTAACATATTCCTAATGCTCTATTCTTTAATGGCAGCTCTTCGGCGTAGTAAGAAGAGAGTCCGTGCTGTAATTCACACAGAATTACCTCTCCTAGTGTCAAGAGAATTTTCATTTAACCAAGAGACTGATATGCAAATAAAAGATTCTATTGTTTGCCACCCTGACAAAGCAACTGTTGATGCACACTTTGTTAGATGGAGCACACTGTTTGCTCAGATGGATAAAACACTTTGTGAAGAAGAGAATCTTCTGGTGAGTTGTTAGTTTTTTTTTACTAGAAATATTTAAGCACAATCCAGGAGATGGATTGATGGCAAGTGATCTGTCTTTACTCCTGTTCTATATGCTTTGTTATTTGGTTCAGGTTGTGTCACAGAACAGTTTTACTAAGAATCTTATTTGTCAAAGTTCAGCCAGATAATCTTTTTCTTTGGCTCTCGTTGTCTTCTTCTTCTTCTTTTTTTTTAAAAATAATTCTTTTGCGAATCAATATATGAACATTGAGAGAGCTTGAAAATTATCTGTTCTAACTTTTATGATTTCTTTTGTTCATAGGTGTCAAGAATTTATTTTCTGCTGTATAAATTGAACAACATGACTATTACATTTTGACCTTTTATCAACACTTCTGGTACTGTACTGGGGTTTATGCAAAAGAAAAACTATTATCATTTGATTATCTTTGAATCGTGATATCTTGGTAAAAACTGAGGTTATTACAAATACTATGCATTTACATTTTACACAATGCTATTATCTTCTTGCTTGATCGCAGGTATATTGCAAATATTTTTTGCATTTGCCTTGAATACATGTTTATATTTGTCACAGTTTTTCTTTCCTGTTCCTTTTGTGTTTTTCCCCACAATTTTACCACATCCAGAGAAAACAATTGAGCATAGTCTATTTTTGATCATCAGGAAACTTGGCTGAAACAAGTAAAGGAAATGCAGTTGCATTGCGAATGGGGTCTTTACAAACACAGTGGCCATCGTGCTTTGCAGCAGACTGGTCCTATAGGATGCTTGACTAGGTAGACTCATTAACTCTTGTACCTTTTTTATGCTGGGCAATTTAGTATATCTAGAAGTCCGCAGATACTTTAAATCTTAATTACTAGATACATGTGCAACCCTCGAACTCTAGGCATATTAGAAAGCACGAAAAATTAAAACGTACATGAACTCTCGTGTTCTCTCTTTTTTGGTTGGTAGAAACTAGAAATTATGTAATCTTTTTACTTGCGTAGAAACTGCAGAGCTATATGAGCCAAAAATGAGAGTCAATCTTTCACTATATTGGGTATTATTGGAAAGTTACAAACATGTGTTAAGGGCCTGGTGATATTTCACAGTATAACTGGGATTTCCATGGAGAATAGTGTCGTAATATCAATGAAAGAAAGTGTGATTTGTAAAGTTCTCTGCATTTATTAGCCCTTTTGTGGAGGCATTTTTCGAAAAGGATTTTTTTATTTGGAGAATGTGTGATTGAAAATGAATGGAGGGAATGTAATTTTCAAAAAATCACTCCCACAAGCACTTAATATTGTAGATTCTTGAAATACTTCAGCTCCATATCTTCTGATATACCTAAACTGTTGATAATCTCTCTTTTCTACTTCACATTGGAGTTCAATTCGTACTTTGATGTTTACATTATGTTCAAGCACCATAAGTTTGGTTATTCTTTCAAAACTTTGATAATGGTAGTTTAGTGAACATTTACATGGTGGTTTAGTTTACATTTATGCTCAAGCATGCAGTCTACAACCTACATGTTCTGATTGCAATTTTTTGTGGAAATCAATTATGTCACCCACATAGCTTTTACTATCGAGTTTTTAAAACTAGTCTGTTTTATATTTTGCTGCAGATTAGGGGAAACTGATAACTCAGAGAGGGACTTAACCATTAGGGCTGCTGCTGCTTCCATTTATTCAACTTGCAACTTCTTGTTGTCAACGGAAAATTTACCACGTCCCTAATCATTAACTAGTTTAACAACAATATACTGAGATATTCAGTCTACCTACAGCATTAGACAAATTCGTGTTTTTTGCTTCCACATATTGTTACATGTAACTTCAAATGTTTAGATCATCAATGTTTTGAATATTTATTTTTCTCTTTTATTGTTTCGGCATATGGGCTGACATGAACAAGTTGTACTTGTTCCTTAAAATTTTAGTGAGAATGAATAACTGATTTTTTTTAAGTATGTTTTCTTTATTTTTGTACATTGATTTAGATATTTGTCCGAATGTATTACTTTGCATCTGACAATAGAATGAAAGCTAATTTGTCGAAGCAAGGTATTTTATGTGATAAGATATTAGTTCACAACACGATAATATCTTATCTATTATATTGTTCGGTCATGTTCAATATTGTAAAGTATGCACCAAAGTGAGGCTATAAAGATTGCAGTCGTTCAGTAATTAACAATTGAACACAATGAAGGCAGAAGGCAAAAGTCTGGTATTTTGTAAGAAATGATTATATAACTCATGCATCCCTTGCTTCACTATGAGAGGATGATTGCACGGTTTCTACAATATACAACTCAAACAGGAAAAACTGAAAACCTGTTTATGCTGGAGTTAGGTTAATTAAGTATACGAAATAAGTCTATTTGTAACACTATCTTATGACTAAGCAACTGCGATTGCTATCTAAATACAATTTTATAACCAGTTGGGTGTCATCTTAATGGGCAACGGATTGGAGGATGCATCATCTGCCACCTTGGCTAGTGAGCGATACTGCAACTTCACACTCTCTGCATTGTCCAATGTCTTCACCACGTACCTGTCAGTTTGAATTGGCAAAAGCAGAACGAGTTAAAAATATGTTCCCAAACTCATGGAGAAAACAAGGAATACAAGTATTGGAAAAAGAAGATTCAAATAAAACCCAAAAGTGTCCTGGTTGATTTTATCTGTTTTCTGCTCACTGTTTATCTTCTTGTCCTCCTTTAGCACTTCATTAGATGTAACGTTCACATATCCATGCAATAAGATCGAAAGCACAGGTGGGATTGGAAGATTTCATATAGTAATCTAAAATTAGTAGGCTGACAGGATTTCACATTCCACAGCTTAAAAGTGGAGGATTATGATGCTAGCAAGGTCTAAAACAATATACTACCGATTTTTTCATATAGGGATGGAAGAATTCCATTACAAAATAATTTGACAAATACTCCAGTAATAATATGTGCGCATAACAATTGTCCAGATTGAATCCACAATGTTGATATTACTTGAGAGAAGTGAATGCAAATATAGCCCAGCAGGGCCATAAGATCCCTGAATGCATATGAAATTTCAATAACTCTGACGCAAACACAGAGTTATGGTTCTAAAGTCCTGTACAGCAAGACTTCCAGTAAAAATAAGGATAATAGCTTGGCCAAGTGATATCACTCTAGACTATCAGTAAAAAGTTTCTAGACGGAGAAAACTGAGAAAAAAAAGGGAGACAGTATTTAGAGAAGAGGTTACCATCCATTCAAGCACTGTGTGGTAACTATAGCCTCACGTCCAATGAAACGCTGAGGAGTTCTCTTGTTACCCTGATTCAGTAATTCCTAATTAGAAACTGAAATTTGTTAACGGGTGATGTACATGAAATTTGGATTTCTTTGCAGAACCTTTATAATAACTCTATCTGTAACGACAAATGGAAACTGAACTCCTCTTCCCCTTGGGTGTTCTGTGAGCACTGAATCACCACAAGTTCCCTTGTCCTACATGAGGATGAGTGAAACGTAAGTTAGACCCAACCATATTATAAGAGAAGCTAAAGTACTAACAAATACTTTAGGACCAGCTAAGGAAACATAATTCTCGATAAGAAAAATTTCACGTATGCAACTAAATTACGGGGTTTTACTGTATACCTGATCATATCTTTCCCTCCTTTTTTTTGATGTTCGGTTAACTTGCAACTGTTGTTCCCGTCGGAATGCCTGGACAGCAAGGCGTAGAGCTTCAAAAACAAAACAAAAAGAATCGATTAACAAATAAACAATTGTAACTTTCTGTTTATACATGCAAATTCATTGACTTGCAATAAAACCACAAACTTTGAAAAGGTTTGAGAAACGTAAAACCGTATAAAAAAACTATAACACTCTGAATTATAATGTACTACATGTTCATTAGATTTATAAAACTGGAAAAGACAAACTTCAGTTTATTATACGATCTTTTGCCAGAAATATTGTGCAAAAAAATTACACACCAGATATAATTAATATCAAATCAATTATGAGAAATGGTAAAAAAAAAGTTTGAGTTAAATGCTGGCTGAAATGAAGACAGGTATCTGAAAAAATGAAAACAGAAAATTGCATTTCCTACCCATGCACAAAACAACAAAAGTTGGCAATCAAAGACCCAAGGAGGGCTTTCAAATCAATGGCAAATATAGTAAAATATTTTACTTTTAGTAAGACAGGATAGTTTAACTTACACAGATTTGGAGCAATCGAGTCCTCTGATACAGACTGTGAACACGTATAGCAGACTTTCTGGACATACATTGTGCAATGTAAATCAGGCCATATATCAGTTAACTTCAATCAGAGAGAAAGTGCTTCTTATCGAATATCAATTAAGGACAACACAGAACCAAACAACTCAATCTTGAAAAGTTAAAACCAACGGATTACTTTATTACAGGAAGTAAAATTACAATACGAAAAAATGATCACGAATTTCAGTAAAACACAAAGGCAGGCAGAAACTAAATGAGGAAATAGATTCTATGTAATAACTACGTGATTAGTATACTTATCCTGAAGTATCAGAAATATAACAATTCTGCTTTTAAGCAGATATCACCAATCAACATATTGCATTAATCTCAATAAGAATAACACAAAGTGTTTCATGTCCTACAGCAGTTCATGACGATCCCATAAGGTCACAAGGCTCTGTTCCACCAAAACCAAAATCTTAAAATCTTGAAAAGGTGACAATCTGTAATCTCTCCACTAAACTTATGTAGCAATACATACATGAACAAACGATTAAGCCAGATGAATGAACCCATCCAAGCATGCTTGGAGTGGTGGAAGAGTTGACACACGAAGCTGAAGCATATTGCTAGTACTGATTAGCATTAGATATAAAACCATAAGAATTGAATCTCTTCACAGACAAAAATAAAAAATAAAAATTAGCTTCCTCAAGAGTTACCATTCTAATTATTTGTTGCATTCCGCCACTACCAAAGGAATGTCCACAAGGCAATATCATTGCATCATCCATAAGTGCTCCTCTGTAAAAGGGCAATTTAACATGAAATACATAAATTTAAAATAAAATTCAAGAGACCACATTAAATTTTGTAGTAGTAAATCACCAACAAATACTGTGAACAAGCTCATCGTATACTACGTTCCAATCTTACTTATTATTATCACAAGCATCATTCAAAATCACACTTCCTTTTCAATTTGTATTGAATATAACAAGCTAGTAAAAGCTATAGTAGAAAAAATTTTAGATATCAATATTTGCCTTCAACATTGTAGAGAAAGAAAGGAACAGATATCGGCAATAACCTTTTTTAGTATTGATTTAACTTTTAGATAGTGAAGTTATAGTGAAATTTCATTTAGATCACCAAACTTAAATTTGTCTCGAAATAGTCACTTACCTATTTTATTTTGTTGCAACCTAAGTTACTATTTTACTCCCTTTAGTAAAACCAAAGGAAAAGTCGACATAACTGTAATAGAACGGTGTTGTGGCATAATTTTCTTTAAAAAAGTGTTCATGTCCGACATGGAAATAAGTTTAATGCAAAAGGATCAAATGAATATTTAAAAGAAAACAAAAAAGAGAATTTACTTCATCTTCCCCATGATATCCACTCATATAAATAAACCCCCCAAGCAACATCTCAAACCCCTCTCCTCCCAAATGGAAGCCTCGAGCACTCCATCAACAACAGCTGAAACCACGAAGAAGCCGCACCTTGCCACCAATAACCAGTGGAAGGAAAGGTATGAGAACACCAATCTAATGACAGTCCCCCCTATCAAGCCACCACCACAAGGAAATTGAGGGAATCGACACCACACACCCATCCCAAGCTTAGAATAAAGTGAATTAAGGAAGGGGACACAACGCTTAAGGCAGCACCAAAACCACTAAGCCAACACCCCTAAAACCTGAGGGGTGAGGAGCAAAGGCCTAAAACACCAAAAGCACTGGAAAGGAATGGAGGGAGTGGTAGGTGGTGGAAGCCAACAGGGACTCACCGGAGATGGGGGAAGAGGTCTGATGATGGTGGCCCGGAGCAGTGGAAGGCAGCAGCAACCAGGGGAAGAAAAGTTCCAAGCATGAGGAAGGGATTGGTTTATGGGCCCACGATTATGGCTTGTTGGATGTACAAATTTCACTTTCCAAAAGAAAATGTACCATGTCATCGTTCCATTACAGTTAAATGCCACACAAAAATTTTCTTTAGTTTTATTAGCATTAACAAAAGTGGGAAAAATACTGACTAATGTTGCAACAAATCAAGTTAAGTGATCATTCTGAAATAATTTAAACTACAGTGAACAGGATGAGAATTTGCTATAATTTTAGTGACTAGAAATGTAAATGATCCAACATTAGATAATGAACTACATCTTCTAGTTAGAACAGAATGTGTAAACATACATTAGATGAATAAATTAAGTTACTTAACTTAGGAAGAAAGTTAAACAAATCACAAAAAAACAAAACCATGCATTAGAAGAACCATGAACCAAAAAGAAGAAATAAAAAGGAAAAGACGACTATAGTAGAGGCTGATTGTAATGGACACATTTAGACATATTCCCAGCACTCAGGTTGAACTATTAATTCATTTAAATATGCGAAATTAAAATTTTCATCTATGAAGATTTATCAATTTCGCTCTTGTGATATCAATTCGAACATAAGAAGTTGACATTTTGTAGTCAATTTGAGTATTCTGATTA